GGCTGTAATGAGAAACATCTTGCTCTAAAAAAAAAACGGATCTATCTAGGAGAATTGTTGTCAAGCTGTACAATCAAGTTACAGAGTTCAACTGATGTGTGTGTTCAGCAGTTCTGAAATCCTTTCTTTGGAAAAGCTGGAAACAGATATTTCCAAATATATACAGGCATATAAGTATTAGCAATAATGGGAGGTTGCAAGATGGCCGTTTAGGAACAGCTCAGTATTGCAGCTCCCAGTTAAATCACAGGCGGTGACTGGACACCGCATTTTTATGACTCACAGACTAAGAAATTCCCAGGCAGAGCAGCTCCACTGTCTTCAGCGTGGCTGTTTCATCCAGCGTGGCTGTGCGGGTCGGCGCTGATGTTTTGACCTGCGCGGCTGCTCTGTCAGCGCCACGGAGCAGCGGTTCTCCGTACAAAATACACCGGTCTGGGTTCCCTTTTTGCTGGTGATTGGAGCCATGGGAAGTCGCCCATTCATCTCTTTAAAACGAGGACTGAGCAGAGAACCAGGACAGTAGATTCCAGGGCAAAAAAAAAAAAAAAAAAGAAGCTCCACCAACTTCAGTGCCGCTGTTTAAGCCATGGCAGTGAGTGGCCACAGCTGAAAAAAAAACAGACCCTGGCGCCTTTTCAACAGTCGACTGGAACACCAACTTAAAAAAGGATCTGAGGCAGGAAACCAGGTGATCAGGCTTGGCTGGTCCCACACCCACAAAAAAACAGCAACCAGAAACTCTGGATTGAGACCTTCACAGCAAGCACAGCTGGATCCAGGACGGTCCAGCTCTGTTGGGGAGGGGCGTCCGCCATTACCGAGGCAGCCCGCCAGGACGGAGGTAGTCGGCCAATGCTAAAGCAGCCCACCGTTGCCAAGGCAACCCGCCATTGCTGAGGCAGCCTGCCGTTGCCTAGGCAACCCACCACAGAAGAGAGAATCTGCCTCAACAGAGGCGGGCCACCATTGCCAAAGCAGTTCTAACTACACCCATATAAACAGGACTGCAGGGAAGTTCACTGGGCAGCGGGGCAGAGCCCACAGCAGCTCAGCAAAGCCTCTACAGGCCGACAGTGACTAGGCTACCTCCTTGCTGGGCAGGGCAGGTCTGAGGGAAAAAAAAGATGGCGGCAGCATAATGGAAACTCATAAATAAAGCCTTAAATCCCAGGGACAGAGCACCTGGGAACAAAAAGCGGTTTATGAAGTCTGCTGCAGCAGACCTACACGTACCTGCCCAGCAGCTCTGAATGAACAACAACAGAGCTGACAGCTCACCATTTGAGCTCCTATAAGGAACAGGCCATCTCCTCAAGCAGCTCCCTGACCCCTATAAATCCAAAGAGACACCTCATAAAGGAGAGATCAGATTGACACTAGGTGGGTATCCTTCTGGGACAACGATAGCAGAAGAAGAAAACTGGTAACAACCCTTACTGTTCAGCAGCTGGTGTAGGTGAACTCCAGGCAAGCAGGGCCTGGAGTGAACCTCAGCAGTCCTACAGCAGAAGGGCCAGACTGTCAGAAGGAAAACCAAGAAACAGAAATTGCCTCATCATCAACAAACAGAACATCAATCTGAAAGATTTGAGAATCAATCTGAAAGATTTGAGAATCAATCTGAAAGCCAGCAACTA